CCCAGTGTGACCAGAAAATATGGGGGAACTATGGAAACCAACCTGAAACCCCCCGATAAATGGGAAGATGGTTTTCCATTTGGACAAGTCGCAATTTTGGGTTTCCATGTAAAAACAATCTGGGGCGCATATATTGTATGTGCACCTAGATTCCAAACAAACATGAACCATGAGACACACAACTCATGCAGTGGGCAAATGAGGCTGGAAAGATTGTAGACCCCTTCATGCGATGAGATCATGTGGCCACTCTAGGGGAATGGTGAGAAAGGGCATTTGAAACCATTTTGGGCAGGAACTAACAAGGCCAGACCTGTTTTGTTTCTGCATCTTCCTAGTGGTAGCTTTAGCTATGGGGTGACGGCTGGCCCAACCAACTCTTGCCCCCAAAAAAGTGCGAACATAGTTTCTGAACGAAAACAAGGGGATAGGGAAACAACAACGTAGATTTTGCAGTTCAAAGGCGTTTGCTTTGATCTACCGCATTTCGCTCATGTTAAGCATGGCTTTACAATCTTTGCACAGGCATTCACAGTGTCACGCCCTGATAGGAACGATCCCCGTGCGAGTATAGAATAAGTCTTGGTGTGGCACACCCCCTACTTGGCTCCATTACAAACAAATGCCAACATCCGATTTAATTTTGGCATTAATTGGAAAAACACCCCGGTATTACTCTAGTTTCTATCCACATGTTTGTCCATGAAGTCCAAGTCACAATTGTTGATACCCACACATCAATGTCTATGCATAAATAACGCACACATTTTTCCAGTGTCACAGCCACCTCCCAATCCACTCAATCTCCTACACCAACATCGAAAGTGACGACCTGGCTACATTTTCCATGCTGATCTAGTATTGAAAGATTTTACCTTCGAAAAGAAATCCATGACACCATGCGGCAACCGCCATGAGGTTCGTTTGGAAACTCTCAGATCTTCAGATAGTCAGATTGCATCTTTTTAGTTTACATCTTAGTTTGGAAAGATATCAAAATTGGCCAAGACTTTTGGTTCCGTGGGGTTGAAACCTCCAGACCAACCACACACAGGTTTCACCAGCTATCGTGAGTGAAATGATGCAACTGGTCCCCTCCACTGGTTCCCACGGGCGATGATTTCAGGCTCTCCAAAGCAGTGGTTGGACATCGGAGGCCACGATTATATCTTTGAGGATCGCTCTGTTGCTTGGAAGATGATGAGGTTGCGGCTACAAGGTGGAAAGTTTCAGCAGAAGAACCTTCCAACACAATTTATGTTGGGTTAGACCTGTATGTAAGAATGCCACATACACAACACACAAATACACCCAAATATATGTTCAAAAGTTGGTTAAAATCTTGATGAATCCACGAATCCACAGGTGAACGTGTTACACGTGTTACACGTGTTACATCTACCAACTTTTGAACAACTGGATTCGTAAAAAGTCCCTTTTTCAGTTGTCCGGACTTTGTCCGGACTCCGGACAACACCTGCCCCACGTGGCCTGGTTCGCTCCCGGCGTGAAATCTCCTGGGATTTCTACAGGGGAATGGATAAATTCATGTTCAAAACATGTAATTGTATATATATATGTATATATATATATTTATGTATATATTATTCATTTGTGTAATTCACTTGTTCTTCTCTTTCAAAAGATCTTTAACATTAGAGAAGCGGATGATTTTGATATGTTGGTCATCCGAGTCAGCCGGACATCTGGACCGGAAACCAGCCATGAATTCCAGCATTTCTAGTGTAGCAGGTTACAATTTACCATAATAAAACACCTTGCTGTTGGGGTTGTGTGCAGGGTTAATTGATCCCATTTCACCCCTATGTTAAAAACTTTTATCTTGAGCGACATGTGGTCAGACAGACTGTCACCGGCGAAGTCGCGCCTGTTGAGGTAAAGTTGCTAGGTGAGCCTGAAACGGCCATGGAGGGATGAATCACCAGGTCGGGGTTCTTGTGCAGGATTTGTGAAGAGATAAGGTAGGGGTATACCCTGGTATATCCCAAAATGACCAATTTGAATGGGGAAAGTGATGACAACATATACATATATATATATATAATTCGGTGTACCTAAACCGACTCATCATGTTGTCTCCCCAGGAAATGTGATGATGGTGAACCCAACAGTTGACTTCCCATGAACTCCCCGAAGCTGCAACGAGCCTGCGGTAGTCGAAGTCGTGGCGTTGAGCCCCAGCGTTGGTGGCAAAGTTGGCCTGGGCAATGGGTCGAATGGGTCGAGTTGAAAAAAAGTGCCTGGGCAAATATCGTCAGATGGCGCACAATATATCGTTTATAAGTGGTTTATTCATATTCGTTTATATAGTCGATCACTTGTTGGCGCTCCCACATAAATTTAGGGGGCCCGAAGATTGTGATCCCAGTGACATGAGGGTAGGTTCAGCAGGGTAAACCTCAAACGATGGAGGTTTCACCCATAAAATCCATCAAAATCCCATAAATGTTTCTTCATTAGGGAACAAACATGGTCCATTGGTCCATTGGTGTGGTATCGCCATCAAGAAGTGAATCCAGCCTGACATCGATTTCGCCGCGAACTCGCCCAGGGACATAGCCACGGGGGGCAGGACGCCACTGACCTGGAGAGGATCATGTCGTGAAAAGTGACTGAAATGGAATGAATTTTTTACTTTTAAACATAGGCTACTGCAGCTACTCCTGGATTCTCCTTGACACATCCATGGGTACGTGTATATCCCACAACAAACTTAAAAATGAGCCTTGCTGGAAAACACTTGATCAACAGGGTACTCTTTAGACTTGTTTTGCACAGCTTTCTGCCGGGCTTTCGCGACCATAGTTTTGGCTTTGACTGGAACATCTTGCGAATCGCTTTTGGGTCGCTTTCGCGGGGAACATGCTTGTGGGAAGACTACTTTTGCAGTGCTTTCGCGGCACATGTCTTTTGACACTCTTTCGCAGAGCTCTATTTGGAGGACCGTGTGTTTTCCTTTCGCAGAGACACCATAGATTAACTCCGTGATAAATTGGTTTTGGGGATTTTTGAGTGCTGCTCAATTGTGTTCAATGGGACATACAACCTCAACCTTGGGGAAATGAGAACCACCCCAACTAGGAGAGTGAATTGGCCAAATGGTGTATGACCAGAACAGCGGTCCGGCAATAAAAGTGCATTGTTTCACTGCCGAATCTAAAGTTGGTCCAGCTTCTAATGCTGGAGGTGCACATATTGTGGGGCCAATCGTAGGCAAAAGGAACTCGGCCTAAACTTGGCACCGGAAATACAGGAGCACTATCAACTGTCCAAAAAAGGTGGGTTCGGTCTGCGCCGCATCAACTTTCACTTCAACCTTCGCCCATTCTGCAAGTGGCGAACCATCATCTATAGATACATGATATCTCATATGTATATATAGATATATGTATACATATAGGGTCTCTCTCTCCCTCTACAAATAATATAAACACATAAACACATATGCATATATAATCACATATATATATATATGCCCATTTGGAGGGTTGTCATTTGCTCATTTGAAGGGACTATGCATTGGCCACAACTCAGCTGCCAATCTAACGACGGCCTGCACAATGTCCGCGTGGACCAAGAGCACCTATTGGATCAAGTTGTTGGGTTGTCACTTGATTCTGCTAAGATCTTAAACAGATGTGTTGAGTATCCAAGATATTATGGGTTCCCAGAAGACTTTAATGTATATATATATAACTCTATCCATCTATCCATTCATCTATCCATCCATCTATCGATTTATCTATCTATCGATTTATCTATCTATCTATCCATCCATCCATCCATCCATCCATCCCTCCGTCCATCCGTCCATCCATCCATCCATCCATCCATCCATCCATCCATGGTGGTAGTCGTCCACCATGGTACCTTGTTGCTCCAAACCAGAATCCGTTTGTCCAGAAATGACTGATTTTCACCCCATTGATGGCCATGAACAAAACGCACAAAATAAAGCACGGGAGCGAATGAGGTACCATATTTCCAAACGAACCCAAATCATGGATGTATCCGAGAACAAGGTCCGAAAAAAACTACCTTGTACAAAGGATTTTCTTTGTTTCTCACAAACTACCTTAATCCTACAGTGTTCATCCGATGTATCGCACAAGAAATAACTGTTCTTAAGTTGTGTAAACCTAGCAGTACCGACGGAGCCACAAAAACAAAACGCCCTTTTCGCCTGTGTGCCGAGGTGGCGACCGAGGTCGACCTCTAGCCCAACAATTGCTGGTTCTCTCACCATTGCATCTTGGCTATATAGTCCAAATTTGATATTCGTAACCACCAAACAGGTATTGGGGAGATTACGGGAAGAACATTTAACATGTGGATGTTGACCAATATTTCCGATGAGGGATATCACTTATATGTATATAGTATATATATTAATATATATATATGTATATAGTGTATATACATAGTATATTATATAGTTTAATACTTACAGTAGCAAGCATGGTTTCAAGTTTCAGCCCATCCCATGCCCAAGGCCGCCGCGCCTGGTGCGGATCTGGGGCGACAGCCCGGACAGCGATTCCTGGCGCGGACCTGAGACCTGATCAAATACAAAGACTATTTAGCTATGGTTATCACTATTGTATAATATTATATGTTTATATCATATATATCACTTAGTCAAGGTAGAAATAAGAGACCCAGTATTAAGTATATAAATAAATATTAGAGTTTACCATGTGAAAGGCCTAGGTTTGAAATTATTCCCAAATGGTCACTCTGACTATGTGGTGCAATGGTTTTTAAAGTCAGGTCTGCCAAGTGAAAGTGGGAAGAGGGGTGTCGAGTTACCATCTGGTATTTCGGGGCGCATCGAATGGAGGCAAAAAGGGGGAGCAGCTTCTTACCTGCACAGCGAGACAGTCGGAGTCGGAGTTGGTTGAATGTCTCTTGTTAGTTTCTCTGATTCAGACAAAAAACAAACAAAAACATAAGATAGCATAAGTGACTAAACATGATATGAGGATACAAACTAAAAAAACGACAAAGATACGGAGATGTCAATGATGTCATCCATGATTTCCCACGGTGCCCCTTTCAGCCTCACCGTGACTTGAGCCTTGATCCTCGCCTGGCACGCCATGGCCATGGGATGCCATGGGGTCTCAATTGTCGGGTCGAAACAACCGGCGCGAAACGCCCACCTGGAGGTCAGCATGGGCATCGTCGATCATCTGCATCCGATGTTCAAACTCCTGGGCTGTAGACCCACAAAAACTACGCACAATCCACCGAGAAACATCATGTTCATGAGTTTTCATTGATGATCATTGATGTTAATTGATGTTCATTGATGATCACGTTTGGAACAACTTCTTTCAATTTGCTGTTTATCTTCCATCACGGTACCTGTGGCTGACGGATCATCGACCACCTCAACTGGCGTTGCGTGTGACAGTCACTTGACAGGGCCCTCCCATCTCCGTGGCCGTGTCCTTTTTGGTGACCCAGAATGGTTGTCCTTTGTCTGGAAAATGGTACACCAAGCAATCCTGACAAGTGAAACATGAATGAACATGACTTCTGAAGATGGCTCCACTAAGAAAAAGGGGAGTTGTCCACTGTCATGAACGTGCCAAACAAAGAAAGTGTTTAGGAACAGGGATTTGGCTAATCTCATGTAAATGTCATGTGCATGGGTAAGACGGTAAGACTCTTGCAACACTTGGAACCCTTCAACACACCCAAAAACATTGCCCTGTAGAGACCAAGAAGTCTGTACGATGGGATATCCCCATGCGGAATGACAGCTGCACACATTTGCGGAATGTCTTCAGATGTTTATTTTTGAAAATAGCTGACAGATGAGATCCATTTTCCAATTGGACCACGGTACAGCTAGATTTCGCACCTGTTCTTGGAGTAGTTGCTGCTTTTCTGCCAGCACTTGGAAGATCTGGTCATCCACCTCCTGCGAGGTGATCGGACGCAAGAAGAAATGAAATCTGCGAGGAAATGGACAATCAGAAAGCAGAAAAAAGATGTGAAGACAGAATCGCCACCACCATCGTCATCACCATCATCACCATCATCACCATCACCATCGTCATCACCATCATCACCATCATCACCATCATCACCATCATCACCATCATCACCATCATCACCATCATCACCATCATCACCATCATCACCATCATCACACCATCACCATCACCATCACCATCGCCATCACCATCATCATCATCATCATCATCACCATCACCATCGCCACCACCATCACCATCGCCGTCATCATCATCCTCATCGTCCTCATCTTCATCGTCATCGTCATCATCATCATCATCATCACCATCACCATCGCCACCACCATCACCATCGCCGTCATCATCATCATCATCATCATCACCATCATCATCATCATCACCATCATCATCATCATCATCACCATCGTCATCATCACCATCATCATCACCATCGCCACCACCATCGCCATCATCATCATCATCATCATCATCATCACCACTATCACTATCGCCATCGTCATCATCATCGTCATCATCCTCATCATAACCATGACCATCACCATTGCCATCACGATCATCATCATCATCATCATCACCATCAACATCATCATCATCACCATCACCATCACCATCACCATCATCAGCATCATCACCATCACCATCGCCGTCGCCATCTCCATCATCACCATCACCATCACCATCACCATCACCATCGCCATCATCATCATGATCATCATCATCATCATCATGATCATGATCATGATCATGATCATGATCATCATCACCATCACCATCACCATCATCACCACCATCATCATCATCATCATATTCATCATCATGATGATGATCATCATCATCAACATCACCATCGCCATGATCACCACCATCATCATCATCATCACCACACTCATCATCATCACCATCATCACCATTATCATCATCATCATCACCATCACCATCGCCACCACCATCACCATCGCCGTCATCATCATCCTCATCGTCCTCATCTTCATCGTCATCGTCATCGTCATCATCATCATCATCACCATCATCATCATCATCATCACCGTCACCATCACCATCGCCACCACCATCACCATCGCCGTCGTCATCATCATCATCATCATCACCATCAACATCACCATCGCCACCACCATCGCCATCACCATCACCATCACCAAAATCCGTCATCAGAACCACCACCACCATCGCCACCACCATCACCATCGCCGTCATCATCATCCTCATCACCATCGCCATCGCCATCGCCATCATCATCATCAACATCATCATCATCATCATCACCATCATCACCGTCGCCATCGCCATCATCATCATCATCATCATCAGCATCATCAGCATCATCACCATCACCATCGCCGTCGCCATCTCCATCATCACCATCACCATCACCATCACCATCGCCATCGCCATCATCATCATGATCATCATCATCATCATCATCATGATCATGATCATGATCATGATCATGATCATGATCATCATCACCATCACCATCACCATCATCACCACCATCATCATCATCATCATCATCTTCACCATCGCCATCGCCATCATCGCCATCATCATCATCATCATCACCATCATCATCATCATCATCACCATCACCATCATCACCATCACCATCACCATCGCCATCCTCACCATCACCATCACCATCGCCATCACCACCATCACCATCGCCATCATCATCACCACCACCACCACCATCATCATCATCATCATCACCATCATCACTATCATCACCATCATCATTACCATCGCCACCAACATCGCCATCACCACCACCACCATCATCATCATCATCATCATCACCATCACCATCGCCATCGCCATCGCCATCCTCATCATCATCATCATCACCATCACCATCACCATCGCCATCATCATCGTCATCATCATCGTCGTCATCATCGTCCTCATCATCATCATCATCATCATCATCATCATCATCATCATCATCATCATCATCACATCACCATCACCATCACCATCACCATCGCCATCGCCATCGCCATCGCCATCATCACCATCACCATCACCATCGTCATCGCCATCATCATCATCATCATCATCATCATCATCATCATCATCATCCTCACCGTCACCATCATCACCATCATCATCATCATCGTCATCCTCATCATCAAACCGGGCTGATTCCCCACAGATAAACTTCTCATTATCATTATTTTGGCTTAATACAATTTGTCCAGGCCACCATCACCATGACCGCCGCCACCATCGCCCAGCATCCCAAGTTGGCCCAGCCTGCTGCGCCAACACGTCCTGTCTCCGTTGTCGCAGGATCCGTTCTCGCGCCTGGCCGCAGGGGACTTGGGCATACCATCCCTGTGCAACTGGAAACAAGACGATAAAGACAATATTGAGAAATAGCACAAATAAAGTACTGCTTTTGTATGGTTACCATGGTTCTATCCTGGCCTTTTGAATGTACATCCTTTCCTCCTCTTGATCGATGACCTATCCTTCATTGAACTCTCAACGAAGCAGTCGCACCATTGACCCGTTTAACGATGTGTTTAAACCATCAGCGCACCTTCACATCCAGAAAGCCTTCGCATTCGCATTCGCGCTGACTGGTCAAGTAGCGAATCTGCTGACACGCCGCCTGCGAGGGCTCCCCGCTGAATCCTGGATGAAAAACATCTTTTCTGCGCCAATGTCTCAATGTCACCAACCTTTATAGACCTTTACAAGGGCATATCGGCATGTCAAATATTGTTGGCGACATTTCCACCTTATGCTTACATGGCATATTTGCCATCAAAAAAACATGTTGCTTTGGACTATGTCTAATCTTTGATATCCTGCAAAAGAGTCAATCTGAGCTGGGCATGGCGGCATTGGATTGCCGTTGCCAGCATAGAGACCTCTGAAATCGGTCGATGAAATCGGCCGCGCCATGCTGCGCCTGCTTCTCCAGCAGTGCTTCGTACTCGTCCTGCAACTGCAAGAGCTCTTCTTTCACCTCCTGGAGGCGCAGACAAACGGTTTGTCAATCATGGGGGTACCATGGGGTACCCGTAAAATGTATCATGCTCAAACCATATTTTAATCAAATCAAACATCATCAAACCATAGAAAACCCCCAGATTTTCATGGTGAAGCCACTACAGTCACGAAAAAGCACCGGACCACATTTCTTCCGGTCCTGCTTCCGGCGTTCGGCATCCTGCTCCTCCAGTAACCTTCGATAACGGTCCTCCAACTCGCAGAGCTCCTGTGGCGAGGGAAAAACGAGCACCTGGTTTTGAGGGGAAAATCGAGAAAACGATGGAGTTAACGTTAGATTAACATATGATTAACATGATTCAACCACAAAACTTTCAGACATTTCCTCTAACTTGTCTGATCAACAATTCTAAGACACGATTATATTCCGATTGCCTAATCTTCGTGTAGTATTATTGGGATGTAAATGGGACATAGTTGGAATTTTAGTTGGATGCGATTGAGCTAGAGTTGGGATATGGATATGATTCCGATGTATATATATATATGTGTGTATGTGGCATGGTTTTGGCGGATATTTGGCCATATCAGCCATGATCCATGGTGATGATTTAAGCATATTTAAGCAGAAAATTAAGCCCCAAGAAGTGGGATGTTTCAGAAATACCACCAGTTGCGAGCAAGACCACTCAGGCGCCTCGCAATGCTGCCTCCTCTCTGGCATCTGGAAGTCTGGACCCTGGTGTGAAATGAATGGATACAAAATAAGGATATGTAAATGTATATGATTCATATGATATACTAAATACTATGTGTATATATATATATATGCTTTAATACTATGCTTGGATATGTTTTAACATGTTTCAATATGTTTCAATCCGCTTCAATGGGTTTTAATGTAATATAGAGTATTACTCATGGACGACATTGGAAGATCCAGAATGGATAGACTCAAACAAACAATCCGCTACTGTTTCCAGATAGACAGTTGTGGGCTTCATATTATCATAACTCTGAAAAATATCAAACACTGCTCACTAATAATTGATGCCCGCCTGGGCATTGGTCAGAAGCTACCCCACTGGCAAAGTTCAGGTACCAATCGGTACAGTACCAAACTCATACTCAAACAGCAGCCATCCCCAAACAGATCGTGAAATGGCCGTGCATCAACCAAAGAGGTTCCAACATAAATCAAGATAAATCAAGATCTGAAAAAACGATGGGGTACGAGATGGTACCAGCCCCACAATGTGTCGTTTTCATTCGTTGCGTTGACCTTCACCATCCGAAATGGCGATCAATCATTTTGTCGCCCAGCGACACAGCCAGTTTGAGAGTCATAAATCTCCTGGGTCTTTGTATATCCCAAGATCATCCAAGATCCATTTGGGGGTCACTATTGGCTTCACCAGTTCACCACAACACATCGACTATCCCCCAAATTTCGGATCCACCCTGCACCCGCTACCAGGCTCCGAACGTTGGGATGGCCACAGTAGTAGTAGTCCCAGAGATACGAGGAGATCTCCTCTCTTTGAGAGAAGTTTTTGACGTGGTGATGACACCAACAAGCCTTGCTGCAGACATGAGTTGGTGAGGAAACATGACAAATCCTAGATCTCCTGCAACAAGTTAACACTTTACCGGATAGTATACACAGGCCACATGCATACACCATTCCTCAATTTCTAGTCTGCAATTAATCCATTAACCTACCAAACCAGGGTTTACCCAGGAAGGAGATTGGATCCAGAGGGAAGATGCACCACCAAACTGGAGTGGTTGAGTCCATCTGACGTTGATGTGAGATGGTCATTCCATGTCTTATCTTAACTCCCCGATCGCCACCCAGTGCCAATCGTGCAATGGCTAGCCTGCAATCACTTGTATCCGTATTCTTAGTGGTTCACATTCCGTCTCTTGGATTTTGTTTACGAATTGAAACATCATTCAATTCATTGAAATGGTGATTTGACATATAGTATCACATTGTTGGCTCTATCTCCCACGAAATCTTCCTTATATTCTCATTGCAGTTGATTTCATAGCCCCATAACTGTGTTGGCTGAATCCAACCCATTTCGAAGAATGAACCCAGATTATAAGGAGCTATACTAGTTTAATACCCCATGCTTCGTGCTGAAAACTCCGTTTTTGTTGGCAAAATCAAACAACTGTCCTGGCACTCCATGGCACAGCGGTGCTGCCGACATCGAAGCATCTCTGCGCGGCGTTGAGAGCCTTGGGCCGATTGCGAAAAACATTCGTAATCGGATCATCTTACCAAAGAGCCTTGGGATGCCTTGGGTGTGCGAAATAAAGAATCAACACCTCCAGATATTACCATTGGTTGATTCAACATGATGGACAGTTTTCATGCAAATCACCGTGTGGTTCCCTTGGTACCTCTTCTTGAACAGCTACTTAGCGCCACTTCCCTCCATTGTCGCCGCGAGCCGCAAGCATTTTCGCATACCCCTCATGTGCACCTGCAAAGGTGCAGCGCAGAGAGGTCTTGGGGTTATCCCTCTCACTGAGTAAGGATATGCAGCATATGCATTAATATCAATGCAACTGTTGATGAGAATCAAATGGAATCAACTTATGATCAAACATCTCTCTTGATATCTTGATAACCCTTCTAGCCTTGTTTGGTTCATGTTGATTCTAACATATTCTAACCTCTAACCGACCCTGTCTGGTGAGTGCTACCACAAAAAGCCCTGGGATCCATGGATCCAAATTACGAAACTGGCACTCGAAACTCCTGGAGCTATGGGACCACTGGGATCTGTCATGTGACAAGGTCGAAGTGCAGAGTACACCATCAACTTTGGCACCGTGGCACCCAAAGTTCGACTTGCCAGGTGGAAACATGATATCCTGCCACTCTCTGCCACTTGTGTTTTTAGATTTTTGAGTGGCTATCTACAGACCCAAAATCGAGAAGACATCGCGGCGGCCATACCTCCATCCCAGTCTTGGTTGGTCTCATTTTGGTCCCCATTCTTTGTGATACCTCTGGGGATTTTTCGCCCACGGTACGTTGAAATCTCAGGTAGTGGTCAAATATAGTGCCCAGAACCACACAGCTTTTGGTCATTTCAAGCAAACCATCCACTTTGATATGGTACCCTCTGGTGATATTCATGCCTGGTGATGAATAATCCCTGCACTGCAAAAAATCGTTTGTAGATGATGTTCGCATCGAAAATTGCGATCCTTCATTGCATTCTTGGATTACTAGAAGGTACCCGATGAGTACAAACCACCCAACATGCCAAACGAAAACCCGCATGTCTGCTGGTTAAATCCCCTATGCTGACGACAAAATCTCGCCACATTTGATTTCCGGAAGGTACCCTCTGGTAAACAAACATAACTATTGACAATCAGCACTTTTAATAGGTAAATCAGCTATCACTGGGCCATTTTCCAAACCACGTCTCCCCTATGGTGCCTGTGCTTCCTGTGCTTCCTGCGCTTAGTGCTAGGACCAGGTCTTTGTGTCCCGACACAGCGGCAGACTTCAAAGGCGTCTCGGAGTAGCGGTCCGGCAGATTCAGCGATGCCTATGGGCTGCTGAAGTCGACTGGATTTTAAAGCGACCAAAAAACACATTCTAATGATTCTAATGTCTATATAATAAATTTGGGATAGTTTGGGGAGATTTTGGGAGCCAGTTCCGAAGCTAGAAAATTCAACTCAAACCTCCCAAAGGTCCAGGGATGTCCAGGGACATGGGTAGTTTGAAATAGTTTGAAGCCCTTCACCTCACTGGGATGAGCCAAATAAAGTGGACATATGACATGGCTGCATGGCTACATGGTGAGGGTGAAAATCACCCAGCTGCGCCGCTTAGCCCTGAATTTCAGGCGACTGTAAGAAATGTGTCATGACAGCAGAGCGGATCTGTGAAAAACCTATAGATCCGTCCAACATATGCTTATCCATTTGGATCATCCTCCTTAGGGATGAAAGTGATGAAAGTATTTAAAAACATTCGAACCGCCAATTTGGCCAATTTCCACGATGGTTCCGCAAGCAACAAGTGCATCGGCTGATTCAGATGCTGCGCCAAAACAAAAGTCACAAGCTGCTCACCAAAGTTGAACCTGACACAAGGGTGCGCAAGGTGTTAGGCAAGGTGAGTCTGTCAAGACTCCAGCAGTTCGAGTAAAGATCGCACAATGTCAAGCTCTGCAGACTGTTTGGGAAGGACATGCCATCGAGGTTCCGATTGAAATGACAGCCGAACGTCAAGCTCTGAAGACTGCTTGGCAGGGTTTCCAGGCTCTGGTTGAAATCATCTCCAAATGTCAAGCTTTGAAGATTGGTGG